AACTAAATTATCAATAATATTCTTGCGTGAATAATAATTATTATTATTTGATAAAAAGTATAAAATAATAATGGAAAATATTTATTAAACACGCAAACTAAAACTGCTGCTATCTAAATATTATTTCGAAAATTGCTATATTAATCAATTGCAAAAAAAAAACGAAACTTTGATTTATGTTTTTGATTAAATATTTTTATGAAATTATTATTTAAATATTATTAACTTTTCGGCAATTCTTACGCAATATTTCAAATCCGGTAAATCAATAAGTCGACAATGAAATTGTTATATAAAATGTTGTTAGTGCTACAATAGTTACAACAAGGTAAATAATGGTATATAGAAAATTTCTTTTATTTTTACATATTTTTTATAAAACTCAACAAAATTTTTATTTTTAACTCTAGTACAATCAAGAATTTATAATAAAATTATTTAATTTTATAAAAGTAATGTGACAAAATTGAAATATTTTTCGAATTATTTTAAATTTTTTTGTCTATATTCAAAAGCAGTACATACTCTACTACTCAAATTTTAAATTTTGAATATTATAGCTGTAATTGAGTTACAAGTGAACTTTTTTACGAAAAAATTATTTAATTACAATAATATAATTTCTAATCTAGTTAGTCTACCATGAAAATATTTGACTTTGTTATCAGATAAATTTTATCACAGACACAGAAATCTGCCATCTTCTGCCTTTAAGGGGACTAAACGGTTTAGCGCTTATTGTGTAAATGCGAAGCGGGGGTATCCTTAATAGTATAAATAGTTCTGAAGTTGTTTAGTCACCCTAACTAAAATTGCGTGTGTAGATAAAAAGAATCATTATTTCTTACTATCCTACTTATGTATGTGTATGGCTAACTTTAAAACCAGAAGAAGTAGCATGATTTGGAGTTTTTAACCGGTAGTAGAATTAGTTAAATAGGTAATCAAAATTGTTGGTTTAAAAGGCTTACGGGTAACATCACTGGCTTAGCGTCAAGTCAGCGGTGTTAATCGAAACAAAATAAACGTATAGCACTTTTGTTTTTGTAAGAAACAAATCTCTATTTTCATAAAAAAGAATTGTTATACATGTATACCTTTAATAAATATACCTCTATTTGCTCGTGCCCGATTACATTATATAATTATTTTTTTATTATAAATTTTAAAATTCATTACAAAAAAAAAAGAATTAAAATTATAAAACAAATTCATATTTTCAAAATCATATTGAAAATTATACTCTGTATATAAATATGTATATTCACATATACTAGCACAAAAAATTAAATCTAATAAAATTAAAATAAATAAAAGAAATGTATATATGTTAGTCTAACGCACATATGAGAATTGCATAAAGTTTTCTAATATCCTTTAAAACTTTCTAATTTTAGCTACTTATTTTCATATTTGTTGCTTTGTTTTTCTTATTTTATTTTTCTTTTATATATTCTTATATATTTATTTATTTTTTGTCATCGTTTATTGTACTTTATTATGCAATATTATAAAAAAAAATAGAAAATTATCATTTTATATATTATTAAATGAATACAAAAAATGTTAGAAAGAAATAAGAAACAACAAAAAGAAAAAAAAAAGTCGATGAACAAATATGCTATATACAAAATATTACAAAAAAAAACCAAAGTAGAAACCAAAATTTAATAGAAAAGTTTAAAACGGTATGTTGTGCATATTAAAAATAAAAATGTCTTTATAGAGAAGTTATAGAAGAAAAACCAAGAAAAAAACTGAAAAACTAATCATAACATTTTTTATTTTATGAATGTACTTATGTTACATATATATGTAGCTATATACCCATATGTGACACACACATATTTACATTATATTATATAATATAAATTTATTTATATTTAATTCACATGTCATATTTATATGTTGTATATATATATAACATATATATAGTGTTAGAATAATATATTGTTATAGTATTATATATAGTGTTATAATAGTATTATAACAGTATTATAACAATATTATGATTGATATCTATCAATAAAATTAATAAAACAAATTATGTATGTGCTTTATAAATGTATATATACAATATATAAGTAAATATATATATCATGTATATTAAATATTAGTACATATCACTTTACGCATATACAAAATATAATAATATGCGAGCATATTATGCTAAAAGTTATAAAAGGAAAAAAAAATAAATAAATAAACATTATAAAATAGAAAAGAAGAGAAAAAATTTTTTTACAGAACACATAAATGGTTTTTTCCCTCATCACATTTACCATGTACAATATATATATACCGACATACAGATATACTTATAATACAAGTATATATACATGTATAATTATATATATTTAATTCTTTTTCATTATGAAAAATCTGCTGCTCTACTCTCTCTCTATATATATATATATTATGGGAATAAATGACAATATTATAAAAAAGTGTATGTATATTTGTAATAAAATCTGTAATACGACAACCGTTTTATTTTATTTTTTTTTTCGTTCTTGATTTTTTAATATTTTCATTCGCATTTTTTTTTTCATTATAATTTTTTTTATTTTATTTCTTATTTTTTTTTACCATTTTCTTATCGAAATATAAAAAAATTTGCGCATGTTTCCACAAATCTTAATGAATTAAGTATACACGTAGGATTTATACTATATTCAATACACAATATGTACATGTACATATATATATACATTAGGATTGTATTTATGCTGATATATTTCTAATAAAATAAAATACACATCAATATACATATATATATATATATATATTTAAATGTATAAAATAAGTATGATAAGAAACAAAGGATACGAGGTATATTTTGTATTGTCAGATTATATTAAAAAGATAAGGTGGAATGAAAATACATACCTATGAATACAATAAAAAAGAAAAACAAAAATTAGAAAAATAAAAAAAAAATACAATAAAATATAACAGAAAAAAAACTATATAACAGCAATTATATCTATGTATAACATAAAAAATTTATAATATCCCTAATAATGAAATGTTGTGGTAGTGAATTTCGTTTCATAACGTTTTCATTCTGTTTCATTTAATTTATAGTACATTACATTTTCAATCGAAAACTCTCTTCTATATATATATATATATAACATATTATATTCTTGGATTTCTCATTATTTTTCTCTTATATAAATTTTATAAATAATAATTTATTGTATAATGAGTATATATCATGCGCACAAATCAATAATGTTGTAATGTAACACATTTTTGTACAATATCAAAAGTTTAATAATTTCCCTTTTTGTGTAATAGGGAAATTATACTCTTATTTTCTTCACAATTCTTTTACAAGTTAAGAGTAAATAATTTTATAGAGAATTAAATATAACATTGAGAGTTAAGTTCATAATAACAATTAAATTGTTTTTTTTTGTATCTTTATTTATACATTCACAAATTCCTATACACACAAATACATATTCATTTTATTGAGTGCATTGTATTATAATTTTAAAAATGTATATTAATATTTTTTTTTGTTTTACTATTACGTGTAGATAGGCAAAAATTGAGAAATTCTATTATCTTGTGTCATTATGATAAAGTTCACATTATATTTTAATATTTATATGTATGTATGTGTTTGTGTAATATGAATTATGTATAATAAAGTGTACGTACATATTTTTTATTTGACATTTTGACATTTTATTGTTAAATTACTTTTAAGGTATATAGGGTAATTAAATAAATTATTTGATATACAATATAATAGTAAGCTTTTGACAGTAAATTTATTCTGTATAAACAAAAACTAAAAACTGTTATACTGTTAATTTGAATTGCATATTTTTTTTAATAAAATATTTATAAATGATTTTAATTAAAAAAAAAATTAAAATTAATTAATTTTAATTTTTATATTTTTAATCAATTATAAATATTTATAATTGATTTTAATTTTAATTTTTTATTGGTAATGATTTTATTATTTCGTGTATTGTATTATAAGAACTATCAAGAGAATTTCTTTAAATGTTATACATGCAATATAGCATAATAAGGAGTAATTCTTTAATTTTAAAAAATTTTCAAAAAAATTTTATAAATCATCAAATAAATAAAATTATTATTTTTTACAATTTGAATATTTTAATTCAAATTTTGATTTATTAATTTATTTTATGGTTTATACTCGTACATTTACTCGAAGGTGTCATACAACTATCATTCAAGAATGTCAACTTAAAATTTATATAATTTTACACTATTTTCTTTTTCAAACAGATTGAAATTAAAATTCTTATATTTTTATATTATTATTTCAGCAAAAAAACCGTATCTAAGTTAAACGTATAACAGTTAACTTTTATTATATATAGGAATATTCTTTCATTCATTATGCTTTTATATAGTGTAAATCTAGTTTCTATAATTTTAAAGGAGCTTATAGTATTAAAAGAACTTATAGTGGTAAAAAAAGAAGCTTGTATAGTGTCAAAGAAATAAAAGTTCGAGAAAATTTGTGTTTTGAGAAATATTATAGGATTTGTAAACGGCGATATACAGAGAAACGGTCAAGAAGAAGAAACTAAATAGGTACGAGCATCTCAAAATTTTCTGAAAGTTTTGAAAATGGATTTTTTAAAAATATATTTAGAAAATTTTAAAAATAAAAATGAATTAATCAAATTCTTACACGGAGAAAAATATAATTCTTATAACTGTTATACAAAAAAATGTGAAAACTCCTCTTTTTCAATTGTAAAGTGTAGCTTTACCTTTAGTATATAAAAAGGATTTTTTTTTTGTTTTTTATTTCAATATAATAAGCATATATGTATGTATTTGTTAAATGTCAGATTCAGTTTTTTTTCTACAAATAACAATCATACAAACTTGTGTGAACAATGAAATTTAAAACATTTCACATTTCATTTTTTTTCTTTTGTCCCTTTTTACATTTTCCTATATACCAATTTTCTTTTTAGTTTTTCTTCAACCTTAAAATCGATGTTTCAGAATTTTGAAAACTTTAATCGGCCGTCGCCATAAGAGTTATATAGTTAGTATTCCGTAACGATAGCGGACCATATTTGACCCATTTTTTTTTTTATATTTTTTTGGGGCGGGCGGGCCGTTTAATCTTTTAAGATTTTACAAGAAAAAAAAAAATTATAATAATAATAAAATTAAAATACATACATATACATATAAAATATAAAGAAAAGAAAAAAAATTTTAATAAAAAAAAATTTTCTAATTTACTTCTTAACTTAGAAATTGGAGGAAAAAAAATTATGGAAAATGGAAAAATTTATAAAAATTCATTATTTTAGTACTTTAAGTTAAAGAAAAATGAAAAAAAAGAATTTAGTGGCAGCAGTAAAGAAATAAAAAAAAGTGTAAAAGTTCACAGTACTTTTTTTTCACAGCCATTGTGAAAAATCCCATAAAAAAGTGGGCGATTTATTCATTTATAATACACACACATATATACACATATAAGAATAGAAAATAAAAATTTTAAATCAAATTAATAAAAAAAAGTAATTAATTAGAAAAATTTTGTTTTAAAATTATTAAAAAATTATTCAAAGAAAAAAATATAGGAAAAAAGTGAAAAAAATTATGAAAATTCGTTTTTTTTTTGTTCTTTTTTTTCTTCTTGCTTAAAATAGCACATTAAATTTTTTATATATGGAATTGAAAATTTTTTGGGATACATAAAATTTTCCGATATATGAAAAATACAATAAGTTAGAAAGAGAAGGAGAGAAAGAAGTTAAAAAAAAAGTTCTTTTTTTTTTGTTTTTTGTTGTTTTTTTTTTTTTGCCACTCAGTAAGAAGTGATTTTTCGTTATTATTATTTTTTTTTTGATTTTCTCCTCGTAAAGGAAAAAGCGTATATAAAAAATATTTTTTTTTCATTTATTTTAATAATTAATCAAAAAAAATATAAAAAAATTTTATTAAAAATCAAAATTTTAATGAAAAAAAAAATAAATAATTTTTTATTTTTTTTTTTGGTTTTAGTTCAAAAGAAAAAGAGTGATTTTGGAAAAGCTTAAAGAAAAGAAAAGTATAAAATACAAAAAAAAAGAGGAAAAAATTGCAAAGTCGTGACCTAGATAAAAAAAAATCATTTTAGTTTTTCTTATATTTTATCGGAAAGGCAAAAAATAAAAGATAAAGGTGAATATGTCAAAAAAAATTCAAATTAATTATTTAATAAAAATGAGACAAATAAAAAAGAAATTTTTTATTAAAAGTAAAAAATATTAAAACAAAATGAAAAAATCAAATTATTTGTTATAAAATAAATATATAAGAGTATTCTCCCCCTCTCCACGTCCTCTCTCTATCTATCCTCTATTTCAAATTTGACTACTGTATAAACAATATCAAAAAAGTCCCAAAAAATTTAAAGAATTTTCGTAAGCAAATTTCAAATTTTTAAAAAAATTTCAAATACTTTATTTTTATAGTAAAATTTAAAATTTATATATATACATACATATATATCATATATATTTATACATATATATCATATATATTTATACATATATATACCCTATATATATATATATATATATACCACATTTATATCTATATGTGTAGATAGTTAATTATTTAAAAAATTCAGTATATGTATATGAATATGTTACTTATACAAAGTGACGAAATTGCGATATTTTATCGTTCTAGGGGTAAGAAAAAGTTAAAAAGAAGGCGAAAAACAAAAGCAAAAACATGCAAATTCTTATTCAAAATTCTAAAAATAGTTATTTTATTCGATTTTTTCTTTTTTTTTTACTTTTTTTTTCCTACTGTCATTTTTATATATATACTGGTTACATATATATATATATATATCAACATTTTGAACTTATATGTGATATGGCGAAAATACAAAATATTCTATTTACATATATATATATACAAAAAACAAAAAAACAAATGAAGAGTAATTATTCATATGTAAGAAACACACAATATGTATATATGTATATCCACAATATACCATGTAAACAGGGTGATGTTTAAGGATTGATGTTTTGTTTTTTAAATTCTTTAAATTATCCTTTATATTATACTCGCTCAGAAAATTAAAATTTCTTCTTTTAAAAACAAAAAAATAAATTTACATATATTACTGTTTTCCTGTTTCCAATATATAGAAATTATGTATGAAGTATTTAAAATACCTACATATATAACAAATACATAATTAATTATGTATTAGCTAATATATATATACATATATGTATATATATATATATATATATATATATATATATATATATATATATATATATATATATATACATATATATATATATATACCAATTTTTATTGTACATATAATAATGTACTCGTTTTTGATTAAATCGGAGAATTAAAAAAATCATGTCTTCATTTTGATTTGAATTATCAATTGCATTATAAATTTTTTTTCATATTATTTCAATATTATTTTTCATTTCAGTCATTTATGATTTTCGAGAATTGATTGAAATGAAGAGTTTATTCATTTTTTATATATCTTAAAATGCGTCAAAATTTTTAATATGAAATTTTATTTGTATACATTTAAATGTTAAATGTACGCATATATGGTTCTCACTAATAAACCGCTCATCCGCTCACTATATAAAAATTTGAGAAATTGTTTAGAGAAATATCGAGATCTTGTGATTGTTTCAAAAGAAAGTTTTTTTTGATAGCAAAATTTTTAAGCCCCCTTTTGAGTTCTTTTATACCAAAACTGAAAATCAGCAAATATACGGAATATCGTTGAAAAGATTTCGCCAAAAGCTATAACTTTGATTCCGAGAGTTTTTTGGAAATGAGTCTTGCGAAGGCTCCAAATTTGTAGGCTCCAAAGCATTGTACAGACCTTGTATAACAGATGTTTAATACAAAATAAATGGCATTATATTACATCAAGATTTCATAACAATAAAGGTTATATTGTGTCTCGAATTCAATGTGTTAAGATTTTTGTATCATAATGTAACCGTTTTTTTTAAATGTACATTAAGGGAAAACTTTAGAGTAAGCAATTAAGCACTCTTATAATAACGTATAAAGAAATTACTTTTGTAGGTAAATTTGGGTTGTTATGTCTATATATATTCTTAAAAGAAATGGTCCAAAATATTGTACGAGTATATCAAACTTAATATACGTATATTATATTAATAATTTTATGTAATAAAAACTATTTGTGTCATATTTAATAGATTATTTTTAAAATAATATATAATTTAATAATTATGCCTGTACGAATATAGTATATTTTGTAAACTTACATTTCTTAGAAATGGTCTTTCCTAGAAATGATCCTAACGCCGAATTTTGAATCAATTTGGCAACGTCGTTGTGTAAAAGAAAAGTTTCGTCGTTATGCTTTAAGCGTATTGCTTAAAAAATAATTTAACTGAATTCGTCCAATTTTCACAAAAGGAAATAAAAATGTAATCGCCCAAAACTTTATTTAATTTGGAATTTATCGAGATAATAGTTCGCTGATAGCTACAAGACACAATTTAGAAAGCTGGTTTGTAATATCTCTGAAGCCAATTATTATAAAGCTCTTGAAAGTTTTCGTAAATTTTTAATGTAAATAAATAAAAGCTTCAGTTTGTTTAAAATCTCATGTTAAATAGTTGCTTTACAACTTCAAAAATAGAAAATATAGGGCTGTAATTTTGCTTAAATAAACATATACCAATATAGGATTATTATTTTCGCTGAAATCATTATGAATGGCACTAGTCATTATGATAATTGTTATATAATTTAAAAATTGGTTTAGCCTTGTCTAGCATAATTGTTAAGACTACAGTGCTGAAAATCGTCTAAACAAATATGATTATCAGGGTAAATATTTACAGGGAAAATTATTAACATCTCTGTTGCCACTAATTCTAAATATATGTGTAGCAATAACACTGTTAACTTTATGTCTATTCCCGTATTTTTATTAAGCTAATGACATACATTTACACTTTTTATTAAACATATGACATATTAAGAATACACTAAAATAAAAATCTCAGTAAATATTTCGAAAATACTCAGTTATTTTTTTAATTTCAAATGCGTATACAATAAAATTTTGAATAAAATATTAAAAATTTTCAATATAATATTAATGAAATTAAAATATAAAAAATATTTGCAAAAAAAAAATGAAAGCAATTAATTGAATTTATTGAATCTATTGAAAATAAATATTTGTTCAAAAATCAAGTATCAATTTTAAGCTTTAACACCCTATACATATAAATAAAAAGTATGTAAAATGAAGAAAATTATTATAAAATTTAACAGGGTGAAAAAAAAGCTTTTACATTAAAAGCTCTTTAATATATTTTTCATATCTCTTTCAAAAATTTTTTTTTATTTTTCAAATTAAATTCTCATAATAATACCTTGGCATTTTAGGAAAGTGGAAAGTGTAATCATAACTGTTTTTTTTTTGTCTTTTTTTTTCTTATAACTGTTCTTTGTATTTTATTAGAATTAAAATAGTTTTTCTTTATTTTAATTTTTATTTGTTTATATGCGTGCGTACATTGTTTGTATAGTATTGTAGTGTTTTGTTTTTTCATCCGTAATATGCATATATAATTATATATACACTTAATTATATACACATATACATTATTAATGATATTTTTCAATGTGTAAATGTAGTTACCGTTACACAATAGAAAAAAAAAGAGACAATATTTTAATAATTAAAGAGTAAATTTTGAGAAAATGATTTGGAATCGAAATGAAATGAAATAGAATGAAATTGAAACATGAAATAAAATATTTTTTTTCTGTTTGTTCTCTATAAGGATATTTTTTAGAGGAAATTTTTGTTTTACTAAGTTCAACTAATTTAAATGTTAAATACATAGCCAAATATACATACAAATTTTATATTGTAAATAACTAGATAGAAAATTGTAAATATAAAATACACACTTATATAAAATAAATAAAATTCTGAAAAATGATAATATAGATACGCAGAGAGAGGGTTATGAAAATGGATATAGGTTATTAATAGTTATTATAAAAAAAAATTTTTTGGTATTTTATATAAGCTATTAAAGTTGAATGAGGGACAATATAAGGCAAATCGAAAAAACAAAAATTAAATCTAATCATGATAATCTTTTTTTTTTATCAAATTAAATACACATTATATAGAGAAAAATTCTATTTGAAATTGAAATAGCTGAAAATTATTGAAATTATTATTTAATATTTTAATATCATTTATATATATATACATAATTAGAAATATAACATTAATTTTATTGTGAGAGTTCATTCAGTTTTGGAATTTTATAGAATTCGAAAATTAAGATTAATTGCAACGAAAAGAAAAGCATTTTTCCAAATAATCTAATTATTTCTTGTGAAAAATAGATTAATTTTTAATTTAAAAAGTCAATGACATAATTTTCGTATTTCCCTTACTTAATATAATAGCAAATAAGTTTTTGGAGAATTGTACATATACAATACAATTTAATAATTCATAATTAATTACAATATTTTTTTTTTGAAAAATCTGAAAAATCTTTAATCATAGAAAAATAGATACGATAAAGAACAATTAAGACAAAAAACATTCTTACTTATATTATCAATTTTTTGATGAATGAACTTTTTATATATAATATTAAAAAAAAAACTTTCTATTCATATATAGAAAATAAATTGACATACATACATACATATATAAGCACATATGTATGTAAATATAAAATATAATTGTATATAATATTATTTAATTATATGTATAAGTGTGTATAAACGAAAATTTTATACTAATACTAAGATAAAATTTTTAATATGCAATAGAAAAAATTGTATACGGTTTTTGGGTTTTTTGATTTTTTTTTTCAAATGAGCGTGTTGAATTTTTTTATAGTGTTTTTTTTTTATACTTCATTTTTTTTTGTATTTTTGTTTTTACTTAACATTTTACATATCAAGCATTAAGTATATATATATGAAAAGATTTAAAAAGTCTAGATTTTTAAATATTACACATTATACTTTACATATATATATGTACAAATATATATATATATATATATATATATACACATAAGTAAATGGGAATTATTTAATTGAGAGATTTTCCATTTAAATATTTGTAAATAGCCGAATAATACAAGTGA